CTGTTTCTCCATCTGTAAATTAAAGCTGTTGGGCTAAGGTGATCCCCAAGATTCAGGACTCCAACCCAGGAGCACAGCAGCCCAGTCTGGGGGAGTCCCAGTCCCACCAGCTGTGTGAGTTTATGCTTTCATTTTTCTCTCTGAGCTTTTGTTTTGTTACTTGTACAATGGAGGTAAGGTCTCCCCCAACAGAGGAGATAGATTACACAAATGTGAGGAAAGCCCCTCACAGAGTAGGTGCTTAATCCGTGACAACCATCACTAACATTTCTATGACTTATTCATGTCCTTGAAATAAGCCTCCTCACCTTCTTCCACTGGGACAAAAGGCTCTTACCATGTTTTATTTAATGCTTCTTACTTTGTAAGGTGAGAACGGCTCTAACATTGAAGTAGAAAATGCAGAACTAATTTAAACAGCATGGGTGCAGATCCCCACCCTACCACTTATTAACTGTGTGAATTTTAGCTGATTTCTTAACCTCTCTGTGCCTTAGTTTCCTATTCATTAAGTAAAGAGCCTAGTTCCTAGGTTTGCTGTGAGGATTGGATGAATTAATTTGCATGACGTGCCTAGAACAGACCATCAGTAAGTTCTCAATACATGTTAGCCTTTGTTATTCTAACCAAGGTGTGTACATTCAGAAGCCCTGTACTCATAACAGGCCCAGAGAGGGTTCAGTAGTTTCCCTGCATCCTATAGCAGTGTTTGGCTGGACTTTATTGTTCTCTCTCAGGGTCCCTTTTAATAAGCACTGACTACTCACTGTCTTTTGCACTGGGCTCATCCTAGGATTTTCAAACTTTTTTTTAGCCAAGGAAATGTTAGCAGAAGGGAAAGCAATGCCTGGGGAATTTCTCCTGCCCTTTTTAGTCCTCCATCCCACACCAGTGTGGAGTTAGAGATGACCACTCCCCGCCTCTGTGTCCTCTGTCCATCTTCATCCATGCCGCTGGCTCTGGCAGCACAACAGTAGCTTTGAAAGGCCTTTGTCAGAGTGGAAGGGGCGTGCTCCGGGTTTGATCCACCCTGGTTTGCTGGCTCTGGCAGCAGAACAGCAGCTTTGAAAGGCCTTTGTCAGAGTGGAAGGGGCGTGCTCCGGGTTTGATCTACCCTAGTTTGCTCAGTGAAAGTGGGGGCTTATTCTTGCTCCATTTCTCTTCTACTTGGTCCAGAGGTACTTTTGCCCCAGGAGGAAGTAGTTTTCCTAATGTACCAGCTTCTGCGGCTCATCTCTTAATTCCAACTCTTCATTTAAAAGTAATTGTTAAAAAGTGGGTTGGTGATAAAGTTAAATATGTCTCTATCTGTTCTGATTTGAGGACTGTGCTGCCCAAGGATATGGCACATGTGTTTTCAGGAAGAAGAAATGAGATAAGCCCAAATGCTGTTGGGATGGGAGGAAGAAAGAGACACATTGCACAGTCATGCACAGACACTTCCATGGCAGCCGCCAGGGGCAGGAGCTCTGGCACTGCATCCGAGGCTGCGTTCCCTTGCTGGAGAAGCTCTTGAGCTGGGGCGCTTTGGGCGTTCCCAGGTGCTGAGCATTATCTCAGGAAGTAGTTGACCAGTGGTTCTGGAAAAGATACCAGTATACGTCTACCTAGGAAAGTTGTAAAGTGGGTTACGTTAAGTCCAGTCTAGTCAGGGGAGTGGGGGTGGGGATTAATTAGGAACAGGTGAGCTGAGGCAGGGAGCAGAGCTAAAAGAGACTCCTGGGCCACCAAGCCAGCAGCTGGGAGTTACCGGGCAGCTCCAGTGACATCCCAGGACCTGCACCTGGGCTTTGAGACCTCAGGTCTCCTATCCAGTGTCCCCATCTCCTGTCTGGTCAGTGCTGATCTGCTCTGGGATTTCCTTTGGCAGCCTCATTGGGAACATCTTCCAAACTCGTATTTTCTCTGGGGTTTTACTTCTTTCTAACCTTAGAGTACATGAGCTGGGATTGTCTCGTAATGTTTTCTTCATTCTCTATTCTCTTATGCAATGTTTGATTTTCGGGTGGGTCATTTAGGGTTGGTCACTGTTGGCTGAGTCGTCTTCTCCTATCTGGGAGCATGAGGCCTGGTCTATATACAGTGCTTAAAGGGACAGGAAACAGGGAGTGACACTAGTAGTCTTGATGTTTGGATTCGGGGAAACAAGCACTTCTTTGGTCTTGACTGTAACTTTGGACTTAAGNTCCAGTGACATCCCAGGACCTGCACCTGGGCTTTGAGACCTCAGGTCTCCTATCCAGTGTCCCCATCTCCTGTCTGGTCAGTGCTGATCTGCTCTGGGATTTCCTTTGGCAGCCTCCTTGGGAACATCTTCCAAACTCGTATTTTCTCTGGGGTTTTACTTCTTTCTAACCTTAGAGTACATGAGCTGGGATTGTCTCGTAATGTTTTCTTCATTCTCTATTCTCTTATGCAATGTTTGATTTGCGGGTGGGTCATTTAGGGTTGGTCACTGTTGGCTGAGTCGCCTTCTCCTATCTGGGAGCATGAGGCCTGGTCTATATACAGTGCTTAAAGGGACAGGAAACAGGGAGTGACACTAGTAGTCATGATGTTTGGATTCGGGGAAACAAGCACTTCTTTGGTCTTGACTGTAACTTTGGACTTAAGTAAATAATACTCCATCATCACTGTTTAAGCACTGAAGGTGTGAGTCCAATCTCTGAAGTAGTGTTTCTTAATTGCCAGCATCAGTACCATTTGAGTTGCTTGTTAACAAATGTAGATTCCCAGACCTGTTATATATTTGAGGGAATCAGCATCTTAACAAGACGCGCAGTTATTTAGGTGTGAGAGCCTCCCAGGAACTTGTGGAAACTGTCACAGACTCAGTGGAACTATTAACTCACGGGTGAAGGTTGCCTTTCCCAGCAGTCACCAGGGAAGGTCTCTGCTTTCTCTGCTGCAGTTCTCAATCTTCTCTCTGCACTGCCTGTAGCTCCTGTGCCACTTTTGAGTACCCTCCAAGGTGACAAGGCTTGCTTGTTTGGCTTTTAAATTGCCCAAGTCATTCAGGGCTGCAGCTGATAAGATTGTCTCGTAATGTTTTCTTCATTCTCTATTCTCTTATGCAATGTTTGATTTTCGGGTGGGTCATTTAGGGTTGGTCACTGTTGGCTGAGTCGTCTTCTCCTATCTGGGAGCATGAGGCCTGGTCTATATACAGTGCTTAAAGGGACAGGAAACAGGGAGTGACACTAGTAGTCTTGATGTTTGGATTCGGGGAAACAAGCACTTCTTTGGTCTTGACTGTAACTTTGGACTTAAGTAAATAATACTCCATCATCACTGTTTAAGCACTGAAGGTGTGAGTCCAATCTCTGAAGTAGTGTTTCTTAATTGCCAGCATCAGTACCATTTGAGTTGCTTGTTAACAAATGTAGATTCCCAGACCTGTTATATATTTGAGGGAATCAGCATCTTAACAAGACGCGCAGTTATTTAGGTGTGAGAGCCTCCCAGGAACTTGTGGAAACTGTCACAGACTCAGTGGAACTATTAACTCACGGGTGAAGGTTGCCTTTCCCAGCAGTCACCAGGGAAGGTCTCTGCTTTCTCTGCTGCAGTTCTCAATCTTCTCTCTGCACTGCCTGTAGCTCCTGTGCCACTTTTGAGTACCCTCCAAGGTGACAAGGCTTGCTTGTTTGGCTTTTAAATTGCCCAAGTCATTCAGGGCTGCAGCTGATAAGAAGGAACAGCAAACTAGTTATGACTGAAGACAGTTCCCAGAGAGGAGTCCCCAGGATGGTCTGAGGTCAGGAAGTCTGGTTGTAGTTTTGAAAGACTGTGTTTATTTGGATACATTCTGTTTATATATATAAGGAACAGCAAACTAGTTATGACTGAAGACAGTTCCCAGAGAGGAGTCCCCAGGATGGTCTGAGGTCTGGAAGTCTGGTTGTAGTTTTGAAAGACTGTGTTTATTTGGATACATTCTGTTTATATATATATAAGCATCTTCCAAACCAAGCCTTAGTCTCATCAGGACTGTCCCCAAGTGACATCTCATTAGAGCACTGATGAAGATTTCCAAAAGTGTGAACAGTATTGGCCAATAGTTACCACACCTCACCCCTCCCGCCAGCGACTACTAGACCAATTGTTGATTTGTAAGATGTTCAGTCTCTTCTGATGTTGTTATCCTGAGAAGTTATAATCATAAGGAAGTAGCATAAATAGCTTTTGCTTGGTCGTTGGAATGTTTAAAAACAACTGACTAATTATGGAAAGCTGGAATAAAGACTTGATTTTGGAGGCAGAAAACCTGGTCTCCAAAGCCTTGCTGCTCACCAGCTGTGTGTCTCTGGGCACATCATTTAGTCTTTGAGCCTGGGGAAGACAGTTCCAGAGCCATCATGAGGATTTGAGGCTCCTGGGCTTGAAGGCACCTAGCACTGTTCCTGCCTCACAGTAGGTTTGTAATGAGTGTTGGTTATATTTGAATCCCACCAGCTTAATTCATTAAGTATGTGTTGAGCATCTGTGTGGAGGAAAGGGAATGGAGGAAGGGAAGAGGAGAGACTTTGTGCAAAAGGACTAACCTCTACTTTGCAGAAGAAATGAATATTCAAGAAAAGAACACCAAAAGGAAATGAGGTGACTGACTCTGAGCAAGCGCCACATGCTCTCATGTTGCAAGAAAGATAGGAGTGGGAGGCCGAGGGTTCTTTTTCCACGGAGGAGAAAGTGAAGGGAATTACTGGCAAGGATGAGTCATTGTAATTATAGACTATTCTGTTCCGTTTAAAAAGCTACCACTTTACATGTGGCTCCCAGCAATTACAAATCAATTATGACCTACAATCAGACCTTCAATTTTTAAAGTCTGTGTAGTCTCTAAGTATAGATATAAATCATCCTTCCTTGTTTGAGGTCAGAAGTTCAGTGAGATCATTCAACTAGTAAGTCTAAAAGAAGCTAACTGGAACTAATTATCAATCAACCCTTCTGATTGCAAACTGATGTCCTCATAAGGGATTATTTGTTATTTCTTCCAGGCGATTTCTTTCCTCACACCTCTGGCTGTTATTTGTGTGGTGAAAATCATCCGGCGAACAGACAAGACTGAAATTAAGGAAGCTTTCTTAGGTAGGGTATTCACAATTCCTGCTTTGGAAAATGGGACTGGATTTAATTAGATCACCGCATTTAAAAAATCTCAGTTGCACCCAACTGATTTTTCTTTTAGTCAAATTATGGTCTGGAGAAACAAGACAAGATAAACTTTAAGCTCAAAGAAGAGGCAATGTGAATTCCTAAGTAAGGAATTCTCAGAGGCCATCTGCTGTCCATTGTGCTGAATTTAAATACCATCGAGTACACATCAGAGATCCGTGCGGCTCAGGCTCAGAGGCAGAGTGGCTCTTGGCAGTAAGGCAAAGCAAATCCAAAACTTTGTCACCACCAACTGTCCAATCTCACATTTGTGGCTGATCGGTCCACATTATGGGCAATTCAGAAATCAGCCACAGACTTCCAACCACGTACAATTGGCTAAAGGTGAAAATGGACAAAAGCAGGTGTAAAATAATTTACAAATTGGAAAAAAGCCCCATAACTCATCTTCAGTTGAGAACACTTTGGCAGCTAAGCAACTGTTATAATGTGAAGAGTGCTACAGTCTTTGTCATTGATTATACACCACTGTTGTGAATTCTCCCCAAGCTGTGCCATGGCTGCATGTGACAAGAGTTTGACATTTTAGGATTAAATCTGCTTTTCTGGTCTGTATGTTAATTAAATGCTGAGCAAATGACAGCATTAAGAGAGAGCCAAAACCATTTGGCTTGTTTAGCAACCAAAATAAACTAACCTGTAGCCAGGTTTTCAGCTTTTTGATCATGATTAGGAAAACTGAATTAGGCTGATTTTTTTTCATACTTCACAGAAAAGTAACTCAGCTCCTCACCCCAAATATTGCTCTTAGTGTGTCGTACAGACTTACCATTCAGGCAGATAGTGAATCTGGAAAAATGAGATTTCTCACTGAAGGGTAAATTTGTTCATTATTGGGTTTTGAGGAAAGGAAAATGTAACAAAATGTGATTCTCTCTCTTCTTGGTAGGAGAGAGAGCATGAGAACCCCATCTATGGTGTGTGGAACAGGCAAGGGGCCCCGAAGCAGCACAGGGACATTTCTTATATAAAGAGGCTTTAGTTAGGCCCTGTTTAGTTGAAAAGAACAGAATCCCTCTCAAATTACTCAAATAAATTAGGGGTTTACTTGCAGGGCTATAATAAGCAATATCACAGTCAGCCAAGGACAGGGGAGTGGAATTGGGAGCTGGGCCGGCAAGAGGGAGACCCCCCTCTGGACTCATGACCACCTGTCTGCAATGTGCTTTCTCTTCTCATGCTCCCAGCCTGGCTCTCCTGCTCTGCTACCCTATCTTTCTGGCTTTTATGAGGCTTGGACTCACAGTGGTGAAGGCTTCTGCCCCAAATCTGTCTGACCATCAGCTTCAGTGCCCACCACCAAGTTCCACTAGGTTTCTAGGTCCAGGCTTCCTGGACAGAGACCAGCTCAGCTCACTTCTCCAGCATGGACACAGAAGTCATGAGTCTCTGGCCAGCATGCAGATGCCCTCCCACAGGTCAGCTGTGGACCCCAGGCTGCTCATCTGTGGTTTGGGGTTTTGGTCATACGGTGTTGGTCTCCTCAGCTGAGGTGGCAGAAAGATCAGTTTCTCCAAGAAGGGCTTAGTTGCCCATCCCCAAGTGGCTGGAGTGGACAGGCAGGGTTTGGACAAATGTCACTGGGGTGACCAAAATTCCCTGTCAGCAGCCTCTCAGGAAATCCCTTTGTTTCACTCTTTATTCTAGTGGCTCCCCTGGCATGGAGCCCCAAGGTAAGTGACTATGGGTAAGAACTGTCTTTCAAGATTACAGTTGTAATTTAGTGCCAGCTTTTGGAGTTGGGCTGTTGTATGGTGGTAAGTAGCTCACAATTACCTTCTCTGGTCTTTACATTCTCAGCTAAAACTCCCTTAGGGTGACATTTCAAAACTGAACACCATGCTCTGCCTCTTATACGATAACAGAGCAGGCAGAATTATTGGATGTTCTGTTTGCCTAAATAAATGAGAACCCGCCCTATAAAAATGATGAAGAGCTTCTCAATGTGCACAGAGTTTTTTAAAAAAAAATCATCGTTTTTAGGAAACCTTGGAAGTAAAGGTGGGGAAGCCATCTTTAGAAGCCAAGGACTGAGAAGTAGGTGTAGATTTTCCGATCTTGCCTGGAGTTCAGGACTTTCTCAGTACAAGGGGTTTAGTACTCAGGTCCCTCCTTTGATCAGCTGTCTTCAGCAGACTTTAACTCCAGGCTTCGACACCTGGGTGCCAAGTGCTCCCTAACCTGGATGTACATGGTGGCCACGTTTGTGTATCTGGTCTTGGGTGAGAGGCATGAGGTTTCTCCATGCAGCATCAGGCTTTCAGGCATTCAGGCTGCAGAACAGCCAGGTCAGTATAATTGAGAACCCTGTGTTATAAAAGTACAGTAGTGCTGGATTTCCTACAACAAAAGTAACAACAAAAGCCTTTTAACACTTATAGCACCTACAATCAGTAGTGCCCTCAAAACAGGCCACTTGCAAGGCAACCCACGGCACACGTTGCTTTGGATTTCTTTATCAGACACAGTCTGGTTTGTCTTTCTGACTCTTTTCTCAAGTGCACAGTGCTGCAGGGTGCTGTGGAAAAAGCCCTGTGAGCCAGACTCCCTGCAAAAGGGTCATTCCTTTCCCTGCTTGTCCAGCCTTTTATGCATCTGATCTCAGCAAAGCCTTCTCCCTGCTATCAGGGAGAGGCTCCTTGTGTTGGTCCCCAAGGGGTTGTGCTATTGAGATGAAAATATTAATCAGTTCTGTCTACTTCCGGAATGCTGAAATGACTTCCAGACATCACTAATGTCATCACTCCAGTTTCCCACCCTTCTCGGTCTTCTTCAGATGTTTAAATCAGAGAGTGAAGTTGTCAGCTGTTTGGTTATATCACATCTACACATTTTCTAGCTCAGCTATTTCAAACTTTTTGAAGAACTGCTCTGTGCTATGATAATCCCACCAGGCTCAAAGGTTAGGGAAGTATATAATGTTCTGGATCAATGTAACTGTGTTTGAAGTTCACCAAGATTTATGTGGGGTGATGGGAGATTGGCTGGGGATGCTTGTTTCCAGAGACCTTATCTGTGCTAAGGCCGTGCTAAGACCGGGATAGAATGAGCCCTGACCTGCTAGGAAAACACAGTAGTGTGCCTGCTGGACCAGCCCTAACAGGGAAAAGACCACAGCTATTTCAGGGCAACCTCACAGCCCATTAATTGTCATGGTTCAGGGGGCAGAATATAGCAAAGATAGCCCTGGGAATTTTCTCTCCTTTCTGCAAAAGAAGTCTCTCAACAGTGCTCTGAGCTTGTGAGAGGGAAGGGAAGCTGGCATTTTAGGAAGGAAGGGTCTGTGTGTGCAGAATGCAATCAGTGGATCCTTCCGTGTCCCTCATGCTGGGATCCAAAGTATGTGCTCGAGTGGCCTGCTTGGTGTTTTAGTGGCAGTGCTGTGCTGATGGCCCATGCTGTGTTCTCCAGCTCTGTGAGCCTTTGCTGACACACTCAGATGTGGCCAATTGTTTGCCATCCCACACTTAGTTGATCAGTTTTCCTTTGACAAAGGCATTCACTTGAACTTGTCCCTCCCGCTTCCTCTGCTTCTGATGACTTGTTAAAAGCAGGTGGTTTTTGTCCCATTTCTGTGGCCTGTGCTCTTGGCGACCATGTTGGCCATTCCACAGTATTTTCCACTTGTAGAACAACACATTCATCTCCCTTGATGGGCCATGAATTGCTTCAGGCAGCTCCTTTCTGAAAATGCCTCTCTGCTGCTATATTCTTAAATAAATCTCAGCTGGTATTGAATGGCTAATATTTGCAAAAAGGAAACGGTAGCCCACAGGCTTTATTATTCAACCAAGGGATGACACGGGGCATCAACAGGTTTATCGCCCGTGCAAGGCATTTGACCTTCCATCCCACTGATGGTGATGACTGTGCCCTTTGTGCACTCTTGATAAACCGCAGGAGAGAGGTGCAGAATTTTGCAGGGAAAGCTCTGTGACTCGTATCACCTACACCCTTCGGACGATCTGTACTTTATCCAGCAAAGTCTCTCGAAGCTGCTTGGAGAAAGTCCCTGTGCTCTATATTTTAAAATAATGTATTTCAGAAGTTCTTGTTCTCTTAGATCGCAAAAAGCACCAACCGGGCAAACCTTCTCAAAACCCAGCGAGGCTTTGGACTCTTCACCTCAGAAGCAGGGATTTGTTTGACAACAAATGGACAGCTGTCGGCAGTGGCAGGTCAACAATGAGATAATCACCGAGGGGGAATGTCCTGCTCTGCAGTAGGATTCCAGCAGCTGCTCTGATGAGAATTATGTCTGAGAAGGTTGCCAGGAGGAAATAAAAAAGTTGTGTTTCTTGCTACCAGGAAAAGAAATTCTACACGCTGTAGCATTAAATCTGTTCCTATCGGGACAGAAAATGATAGATGGGCTCCTCTGTGATGGGGACAATTTCAGTCAAGGAGGAGAGATAAATTTCATGTCACAGGGGCTTGGAATTTATGAATCACTCTCCAAAGTCCTGTCCTAATTATATTTTGCTCTAGCCACCCAAACTTACCTCTATTTTTAAAGTATTATTTCATATTTTTATGATTATAAATAGTATTATAATTTAACAGTGATGATGATGATGATGATGTTTTGATCTGAGAGCCAGCTGGTTATTTCTCTTTCTGTTGGTTTTGTTTTGTAGCAGTGTCCTTGGCTCTTGCTTTGAATGGAGTCTGCACAAACACTATTAAATTAATAGTGGGAAGGTAAGTTCCAAAAATAAATAAATGATGACTTAGATTATCAAGGTCATCTATATAGGAATCTTGGCCAGAGGACACTGGATGGGACAGATTAGAGCTCTTCTGGTTTTCCCTTAAGTTGTTGTCCTTCTGGGCTTTTTGTCCTCAACACAGATCTTTCCTCCCCTTTATTATGAACTCGCTATTTTAGAAAGCGGGAGATTAACAGTAAGGAAGTATCCACTGACTGTAGTTGTAGTTTCTTGTGGGCCAGGGCCCACTGCTGGCATTTCTAGGTCCATCCACTGCTGTCCTGGGACCTCACCAGACACCCACTCACTTGTCAGGTTTGGCCTCTTATAAATAAGATTATTTATTGTTCTCTTCGGGATGAGAGGTATGGATTGGCATTTGAGCTTTGGCTTAGGGCACATTTCTGTTACTGCCCCTGAGACATGATTTCTGTTCTCCATTTATCTTTCCTTCTCTTCTGACTGCTTTGTTAGAGAGCTAGTCTCTGTAGAGATGAGCAGTCAAAAGACCTGTATGCAAGACCTAACTTTGACCTTGACTAGCTATTGGCCATGGACAAGTTAGATGCCCTACAAGAACCTCAGCATTTATTATCTGCTTGGTGCAGGGTGCTGGCCAGGCACCAAGGAGGTGGAAGATGGGTGCATGACGTGGTGCTGCAGTGTTCCTCCAAGTCTACGTGCTTAGAGTTACTGACGGGCCCTGATGAAATGCTGATTCTCAGGCATTGCTCCTCTAAGGTTGTGCTTCAGTGGGTGGGCAACTATACTTGGAGAAACACTGGCCAAGTAGGGAAAAGACAGTACACCAGCAGTTCTGATGGATTATTGAGGCCTTACCTAGATCCCAGAGCTGGGAGGACCAGTGACTCAGTATATGTGAACTGTGATCAGATATACACAGAAAAGGGGCACTGTGTCTACAGCACTAGCAAAGCCTTACCCCTGGTGGGTGCTCAGCAAATATTCGGTGAATTAATGTGAAGTGATCGATCATCTCATGTCCATATGAGACTCTTCACTTGAGCAAGGCAGTAAAGCATGGGGTGACGTGTACAGGCGTGAGGATCCAATTGCTTGTGTTCAAGTGCTTGCCTCTGCCACTTGCTGGTTGTGTGTGACCTTGGGCAGGAACATCATCTTCCTAAGCCTTCATTTGCATACCTGTGAAATGAAGGAAGCCCAGGCTCTGCCTCAGGGCTCTCGTAAGAATCCTGTGGTATGATGAATGTGCAGAGCCTAGCACTGTGTCTGGAACCCAGTAAGTACTCAGTAAATGTCAGCTGCGATTGCTACAGGAGGCTCAACTCCAGAGCCTGGGCCACCCCATTTCCCTCCAGGGGTCTCTCTCCCACACCCCACACCAGAGAAGCCAACCTCGGTGACCATGTTCTCTGTATCATGGAGCTGAACATTCAAGTCCTCTCAGTGAGCTTAAGTGAGACCTGCTGCAGGAGGCTCAACTCCAGAGCCTGGGCCACCCCATTTCCCTCCAGGGGTCTCTCTCCCACACCCCACACCAGAGAAGCCAACCTCGGTGACCGTGTTCTCTGTATCATGGAGCTGAACATTCAAGTCCTCTCAGTGAGCTTAAGTGAGACCTGCTGTTTGAGGAAGGGCGATTTGCCACCCAAATTCAGGATATGGGGACATGTGGAGCCTGGAGACTTGGGTGCTGGAGGCAGCTTCTGAATTGGTGGAGCAGTAGATTTAGACAGGAAGTAACCTTTTGCTCTGCGTCGCCGTGCTTAGGGGCCTCCAGTAAGTCTTGCCACCTAATCCTCAGGATCTCACCTTTGGGTAGGTATTGACTGCCCCCTGTTACAGATGTGGAAACTGAGGCTGGAGGAAGCTGAGTGAGCTTCCCAAGGCCATGAAGATAGTAGATGGCCAGCAGGAGTTCCAACTCAGATCTTTCTGGCCCCAAAGCCTGAGCTTTTCCCCAAACCCCTGTGTCTAGAGTGCTCCGTGGGGAGCTCCAGTGTTGACGGCTGAGCGGGGGAAGGAGCTGGGGGCAGCGGGGATGGTGGGGGTCAGTTGGGGTTCATTTGTGATGACGGCATTTTATATTGAAAATGTCCATGGTGTCTTTTGTAGACCTCGCCCCGATTTCTTTTACCGCTGCTTTCCAGATGGAGTGATGAACTCAGAAATGCACTGCACAGGTGACCCCGAGCTGGTGTCCGAGGGCCGCAAAAGCTTCCCCAGCATCCATTCCTCCTGTAAGTCCATGGCGGGGAGACGCGTTCATTCCCCGGGCTATGTTTCCTGATAACTTTCTTTGAGAGTTTAGGAGGAGAGAAGAGCTTTGGTACGTGATGTTAAGCACAGTTCATTTTTCTTCACTGTAGGGTGGTTGGCTTAGAAACGAGATACCGACGGGAAGCAATAAGCCTGCGGGAAAGGCTCTGGAGTTGACAAAACAGTGCATGTGTTGCTTTCCTGAGCTCGGCAGAATGTAACATGCGACACTTTACCCCTTGACAGAGCAAGGGAATTTGCCATTTCCCTGGGACCTTATGATGTTGTTTCCTGTTCTCTGTAGTTTATTTCTTCACTTAAGGTATCGTGTGTATGTGTACAGATATATGGCATATATATGTATACATTTATACATACACACACACCAATATATAGTTTGACTATAGATACAAAGGGACTTTAAAAGGTGTGTGGAAAAATAGAATTAAAAGATAATATGGGGCCAACCCCGTGGCGCACTCGGGAGAGTGCGGCGCTGGGAGCACAGCGACGCTCCCTCCGCGGGTTTGGATCCTATATAGGAATGGCTGGTGCGCTCACTGGCTGAGCATGGTGCGGGTGACACCAAGCCAAGGGTTGTGATCCCCTTACCAGTCACGAAAAAGACAAAAAA